TTTAGTTTGTTGTGCTCCTTCCTACTATATATATATATATATATATATATATAAAAGCGTTCATTTGTTGGTGTTAATACTGATATTCACTGACTTAACAATTACGAGACTATTTTTTCCAATTTTCCGCTTCCTTCTATTTTTTAATGAACGAAATCTAGTAAAACGACAATTTTCTGGAAAAACGAATATTGGTTTTTCGGGCGATAAGCAAAATCACAAACGATGATTTACATAAAGTCGGAAAATGGTTAAAATAATGTGAATTTGATTTTTGGGTAGGATGTGGTTGGTAAGACAACAGCGTTTTATGTGTATATGGGGTCGACTCATTGATTTACAGAGTTCGGCGTTTCTAAATCATACGAGAAGGTTCGTTTTCCATTATTTGATTGCTTAGAAAGATCTATTTCATCCGAAAGTTGTTGGTCTCCGGTGGTTTGGAGTTTTTCTATTAGAGGTGATAGGATGTGGAGTTGTTTTCGTTAAGCTTCCCAGAGTTTGCTACTTTTTGTGGTCTTATGTTCACATATTTCTTGGCTTATTTAGGCGTAAGATCTGTGATACATCGAGTGAAATGCCAAAAGTACAGTGTCGGGAACGTTATGTATTGCCTGCGAAATTCGATTTCCGTGTATGGTTCCCCATGCATATGTCTGTGCAGTTAAAACGAATGATTGGTAAACTGAGAACAGTGGATCTTATCATTGAGGTGAGTAAGCACTTTAAGTACTCTGATTTGCTACTTCTTGTAGTTGTTTAGATTTGTTGCGCAAACACAGCTTTTCATAATGAAGCATCACTTTTATAAAAAAGTCATCTTTTGGTGATAGGCCTTACGTCATAGTTATAGTGTAGATAAGTACTCCAGGTGCACGATGCTCGGGTGCCAATTACTGGGCGCAACCCTCAGTTTTATTCGTCTTTATACGCCATACGACCACATATCCTTGTGATGAATAAAATGGATCTCATCAATAAGGATTTAAGGTTTGTTTGGGTATTCTTGAACATCCTGATAACGTATTTCACATTTCCTTTGCTAAGACTACTATTCTGTTATGCAGTATATCACAAATTCTCCTGCTATTAACTCGGTATAAATTGAAGTATCTTTTAAAACAGGTTTAAATTCAGACCATAAATCATCTCATTCGTTTCCTTCAGCTATGATGAAGTTAAAATTTAAGAAAACCAATCGAAGATTATTATCGTGATAATGGTATGACGAATTTAGTATGGACAAACTGCAAAAAACGTCTCAGGAAACCACTCACAGACTTACAAAATGTAATGTTGCGATGTCTTCGTGAAGAACCACGTTTTAATCGAACTGTGAAAACGGAATACCAGGTTGATTTTCTTTAATGGTCAGTCGTATTCGACATCCAGCCAGAAGACAGAAGAGCTTCTGTTAGAAAACATATTATCCTGAATCTCTGGAGAGTGTTAGCATGCATGATCAAGTGCAGTTCGAAAGTTGACACATATTCCGAGTTTTCAAAATTCCTACTTGGTTAATTGTTCCTCTTTTGGTTGTGCAGAGGACTTCCTTTGTTGTAGGTTATGGTAGTAGGCATTCCTAATGTGGGCAAATCGTCATTGATCAACTCACTGCGACTAATCAATCTTGGGAACAATCAGAAGGCTGTAGAGGAAGGTGAAGTTTTGGAAAAAAAAAAGAAAAAAACATAAGTGTTTCGATGAATACAGGTCGTTCTTCAGATTATATCGTTGTTGATACTAAGACATAGTAGAAACCAAGACATTTTTAAAGGTCGAATTGTTCGGTGGTCTAGAAGACGATGTTTTACGAGAATCAAGTATATAGCAGTTAGTTGCTTGCAGTTCAGTAACCATCCGACTGCTAAAATATGTGTGGTTTGAAAGAAAATGTGAACCACTTAAGAAATTTCAGGTAGCAGACCAGGAGTAACAGTACGTGTCCAAAACCGTGTGCGGATTTATGACCAGCCGTTAATATATATAGTAGATACACCGGGAGTACTGAATCCATTGGCAAGGGATATAGCTGGTGCAATGAAACTGGCACTGTGCAATCTTATCTTAGAAAGTGCTACACAAGTTCATTATGTTGCCGATTACCTGTTGTATTGGTTAAATAGGTGATTTCAAATCCTTATGTTTTCCAACAAATTTAGGACTTCCTGAGCTTGCACTCAGCATAACCAGTCAATGATATCTTTACTCATACTAGAGATAAATTGGAAAATGCCACCATTTGCTCAATTCTATGGAAAATTGCAGAACAGGTGACTATTCTTATGTTGAGATTTTCAATCTGCGTAATGGACCATCAGATGATATACAGAAAGTATTATTGGATATATGTCAATCCAATGATCTTCGCTTTCAAAGTTACATTGCTAAACAACGAGTTGAACGATGGGACATCGATAAGGCAGCCAAATTGTTTATCAATATTTTCCAGAACAACAAATTACGTGATCACTGTTTAGATAATGATCTTCTATTGGATTATATGAATAAAAATGAATAAATATGCTGGAATCACAACTAAAGAATCGAGGAAAGTTCGATTATTCTAGTAGTCTAGTAGTCTTCTAATATTCTAGTAGTCTTAGGAATCGTAGTAATCTTATTTCTTCCCCACCTCAGATAAGATAACCTTTCTGTAACTGTAAAGAAATTCTGTTAGGAAACTGGATGTACTTCATATCAGTCATTTCTTTTTTAAGAAACAATTTTAAACAACTGGTAAACTAAATCGAGCTAGTCGTGGACTAGATTCATCATGTTTTCAGTATCATTCACCGACTCAGAGGTCTCAAACATTGCAAGTGAGGTCCATCCTTACCTCCATTTTTAGATTGACCTACAGCTCCGAGAACTGTTTTATAAAAAGTCAAGGTCTGAAAAGCTTAGGTTGGGGAAATGATTTCGATTCTCCCACATTACGTATTTCTTCCTCATAAATATTGATTAATAAAAAAAACACAAATAACGACAATAAAATTCGACGATTGTATGCGCTGTATGTTCACTTTTATATCGCACCTTAAAAAAATGAAGATTAGCAACCATGTGGTAAGGGTTCACATTTACCGATAATACTGAGATAAAATTAAAACTGGTCATTCGGATATTCCGTCTCATTTTCAGGACTCTCTTAATCATTCCTGAATACCTTTCCAGAATAGTGGAAATTCATAAAATTTAGTCCGCCACCATATTAAACTCCAACATTTAATGATACCCGTCATCAGCAACTGACATTAACTAAGATATTAACCGATGCTTCGATCAGATCATCACAGATTAAAACTGGCAGCATCATTTCAATGAATGCTTAATGGCTTTTGAACCTCCATAAAAATCAAGTCGCACCGGCTTCTTTCAATAATTTTTCAAGACGTCCATCCCTCTGTGCAGCTATCGTGTCATCACAACCTCCAATACATTTCCCACCAATAAAAACACGTGGAACTGATCTAGCCCCTGTTAACTGTAGCAGTACATCCTGCAAAAAAACGATAATAAGAAACATAAGTGGTCATCTCAGTACAACCAATAAAACTTTTTACGAACCGTTGATATATATATATATATATATATATATATATATATATATATATATATATATATATATATATATATATATATATATATATATATATATATAGTATA